CATTTCTGATAACCGTTGATCAGTCCTGCATGTCTGCTTGGAAGACTTTTAGCCCTTACCTCCTTACAGAACAGCTTCAACTCAGAGATGCTGATGGGTTTCCTCACATGAACTGCCCACTTTAGGTCCTTCCACAACATTTCTATAGGATTAAGGTCAGGACTTTGATTTGGCTACTCCAAAACATTAACTTTGTTCTACTTAACCATTCTTGTGTGTTTTGGGTTACTGCCTTGCTGCGTGACCCACTTTCTCTTGACTGCAGCTCAGACAGATACCCTGACATTTTCTTGTAGAATTTGCTGAATTCTACAATTCAGAATTCATAGTTCCATCAACAATGTCAAGCTGTCCTAGTCCAGAGGCAGCAAAGCAGACCCAAACTGTGATACTGCCACCACCACGTCTCACTGATGGGATAAGATTCTTATTCTGGAATGTAGTGTTTGCCTTTCACCAGTGTAATTGCTTTTTATTGAAGCTAAAAAGGTCTATTTTGGTCTTATCCATCCACAGAACATTCCTCCATTAGTCTTCTGGCTTATCCACATGGGCTTTTGCAAACTGTAGACGGGCAGCAATGCTCTTTTTGGAGAGCAGTGGCTTCTCCTTGCAACCCTGCCATGCACACCATTATTGTTCAGTGTTCCCCTGATGGTAGTCTCATGAGCTCTGACATTTGCCAATGGAATAGAGGTCTTTAGTTCTTTAGACATTACCCTGGAGTTTTTAAAGGACCGCCCCCCCCAAGTATTACACGCTCTTGATGTGATCTTGGTTGGTCGACCACACCTGCGGAGGGTAACAATGGGTTGAATTGCCTCCATTTGTACGTGATCTGCCTGGCAGTGGAGTGGTGGAGTCCTAACTCTTTGAAAATAGTTTGCTAACCTTTTCCAGCCTGGTGAACATCAACAACTGTTTTTTGGAGGTCCTCAGAAATCTCCTTTCTTCAAGCCATGACACACTTCCACATCGCTGTGCTGTGAAGATCAGACTTTGATAGTGAACACCCAGAATTCTGTTCCTTAAATAAGGCAGGACTTCCACACTCACACATCCCACACTCACACATCCCATTGATTGAAACACCTGACTCTAATTTCCCTTTCAAATGACCTTCAAAATAATCCTAGAGGTTCACATACTTTTGCCACACACACACACATATAGCTTTGGATCATCTTCCTCAATAAATAAATGAGCAAGTACTATGTTTTTGACTCATTTGTTGAATTGGGTTCTCTTTATCTAGTTTTAGGACTTGTGTGGAGAACAGATCACATTGTAGATCGCATTTATGCAGAAAGGTTGAAAATTCAAAGGGGCTCACAAACTTTTAGGCACCACTGTATCAATATCTATTTATAGTATTTTCAGATATTGCTGGGGGCTCTGCAGCTTTACTTTCTAATTTATTTATTGTAAAGGATAGATTAGGGCTCTGCCAAACTCCAGAAAACTACTAGATGGCAGCAAAGTGTACTTTCTGTAGCTCTGCTGCCATCTAGTGGCCTACATTGACAGTACAGGACAACTAAACCTACATAGAATAGGTTTAGGCTCAGGTCTTGTTAAAACCAGCAGCCTTGTTTGCCTGGCATTCTTTGTTTCAGTATGTTTCATTGCTACAGTTCAGAAATCAATCTGTAAGTTGTACTGGATGTTTTATAAAAGAAAGGAAGTGCATTTAATTTTCTTAATCTAAGTAATTAATTGATAAGACACAGGAGAGATACAAGGGCAAATGAAGCAGGCAATCACCCTGGCATCTTTTACAAGGTTAGGGTTAGGGTGAGGGGCTCAAAAGGTCCCTGTCTTCCATGTCTTCATTTTTCCCTACTACTTTTGCCATCTTTTCTTATCCTGGAAAATTAACCTCGGAAGAAAATACTGAATAGCTACACAACATGTTTTGACTGCTAGCACTAAGAGCTGGGTATCTAGAAACATTCAGAAACTCTGTTACAGACCTGGCAACTGAGAGTCACTGTGAAGCATTTAATCTCAAGGTCTTCTTCCTGCGCAGAATAAGTATACAATCCGCTCCTATGTCTAGCTGACAAACAACATAATCCTTCCAGACTGCCAGTACTGTATTTATATCAGGCTGAACCTATCTGGCTTTATAGCTTTCCAGCTGCATAAAATTATGTGATCTTCTTGTGGAATTGCAAGTTGACCATACCGATCAAAATGGAGAATTTCAAATCTTCAAGCCTGGATTCCAATTTAAATGTCCAGAACCTTAACTATGAAACTGGTACATGTTCTCGCTGATCATTGCTTCTTCCGTTATGAACATTTGAAGGGGGATGGATAGCCATCTTAACCTGCTACAGCAAAAACTGACATTTGTGAATCCTAAACAGATAAATTTATTCTGGTAAAACAACTGATGAAATAAAATTCAGTCCCTGAGAGCTTATGCCCTAAAATGTTTTTAAGTATCTGAAGTGTAACTGCTGTCCCGTCACTACCATCCCTTTTTGGGGGCAAGATTATTCAGAGCATGGTGGATGTACAACTCCATCCAACTGCTGGTGAAACAGATCCTCTGGATCTCAGTGCTGATTTCAGAACAGAAACTACTACCTTGATAGAATACTTTGAATCAGAAAGGCATAGAGAGAGATGAATGAGTGCCACCCTGTTGATCCTTCTTGACCTCTCAGCGGCTTTTGATATCATGGACTGGCTCCATAAATTGGGAATTGGAGGCACTCCATTGCAGTAATTCCATTTTTACCGGTGGGGCTGATCCCAAAAAGTAGCGTTGGGGATTTCTGCTCAATCCCATGGCAGTCATACTGCAGGATTCACAGGGTTTAATCCTGTCACCTATTCTTCATGAAGCCATTGGGGGAGATCATCCAGAAGTCTGGAATAAGATGCTATCAATATGGAACTGATACTCAACTCTATCTACTTCAGCTGATGAGTCAGCTATCAATTTCTGGATAGAGATAGGCCGACCTTAATGGTACCCCTTAAGGGTACCCCAATGGGCACGTAACCCCTTGACTGGATTACTGTAAATGCACTCCATATGGGGCTGCCCTTGAAGACAATCTGGCAAATACAGCTAATGTTGAATGCTGCAGCCAGAATAGTACATGAGCTCCAAAGACTGGTGCATATTACCCCTGCTCTGCAAGCAGAGCACTGACAATCAATAGTAAGCTGGTCCCAACTTAAAATGCTGATACTACCCTATAAAGCCCTAAATGGCTCACATGTATATCTAAGCGACTACCTCACCCAGTACCAAGCACACATCTGCTTGACAAGTCTTCCTGATTGTTCCACTGGTACGAGAGTGTTGTTAGGGCATATGTTCGTCAGCAGGCCTTCTCCAAGTAGCACCAAACCTTTGGGATAATCTCCTAATGGCCCTGAGACATTTTCTCTCATGCTGGATTTAGAGAAAGGCTAAAGACATGCCTGGTTTTTCCCAAAACTGGAGTTGCCCAATTAAATTTGGCTTCACATATTATTAAAACTTTAATAGTTATAAAAAGAAGAATCTTTATTGGGGTCAATGACCAGTCCATAAAACACTGTACATACATAAAGCAGATATTAATTAACCAATTAGGTAAACAGATCAATATTTATAATATTTAAAGGTTTTTTAGTTTTATTTTATTTGCAATTTTATTTTGGAAGTCACCCTAAGCTTTGTGAGTACAAAACTTTAAAAGAAAAGTATAAATCTTAAAAAAAAAAAAAAAACCCAGCAGCTTCTCTTCTAGAATGAGGAAAAGATGTAAAATATACTATAGCATGTATCTGAAGTGAGGACTCATTAACTCTTTTGTGTGTGTCCCTGATCAGAATGTTAGTATGTTCTGAAACTGAAATAACAAGCCACAATTAAGAAAAACTCTGGTATTCCTTATTTTCTTGAGCTCAATATTTTAAGCTGCACAACGATCCTTAATTAATATAAAAATTTCAAAGTGCTGACTCAGATACATTTTTTGTTATCATATACACTACACCTGAATATAGGATGAAAAGCAGAGGTAGCAACTGAAAAATTAGCATACGACTGTTTCCCCTCCAGCATTTTTAAACAGACAGTTCAACTCAACCCTCCTCTATCGCCTGGAGAAATAAGCGGGGAGACATTTTAGATGGGAAAACAATGGAAGTGAATAGTGAGCTCAAGAATTTCTATAATCTTGTTTTGTAAAACAAATATTTGGTTGGAGGACAGATGGCACACAATTCAGTAGACCAGTGTTGTCCAAACTTGGCCACTTTAAGATGAGTGGACTTCAACTCCCA